TAGGAAAAGGAGTCTTTTTTTTTTATAAATTGATTTTTAAAAATATATTTTATTGATTTTTTACAGAGAGAAGGGAGAGAGAGAGCTAGAAACGTCCATGAGAGAGAAACATTGACCAGCTGCCTCTTGCACACCCCCTACCGGGGATGTGCCCGCAACCAATGTACATGCCCTTGCCCGGAATCGAACCTGGGACCTTTCAGTCCGCAGACCGACGCTCTACCACTGAGCCAAACCTGCTTCGGCAAGGAGTCTTTTTTAAATAAATCAATATCATACACAAATGAAATGGCAGGAACTCTGTCCTAATATTTTATTAGATCATGTAGGGAAGAGATAGGTTTTGGTGTAGGTGAAGTTGAGGGACAATCACTGAGGGGTATTGAAGTATCTAAAACATGTGGCTGATATTTCAGTTTTCTGAACTTGAACGTTTAAAAGAACAATAAGAAATGGAAAGTGTAAAAACTTCTCTTTCTGGTAAGTTATGTAAATATTGCCAATGTCCTAGGCTGTTTTGTGGGGCTGCCCAAGGGAGTAGTCTGGAAGAAAAAGAGTGAAGCAGCTGTTATTCTCATCTGGGAAAGCGGAATGTACTGGTGCAGTTGCTCTGCCTGTGCTTCCCGGATTTGCTCAGCGGACACACCAGCTGAGTCTGCACTAGGGAGTTGCTATGGGGAAGTAAACGTTCCAGCTAATGGGCACACAGTGTGGAGCAACTTAGAAATCTTCCTTGTTGGCAGATCTCAAACTTCCTTTCCTCATAGATGCAAAAGTCTTGGGACATGGAGAAGTTGTGGTTTCTGAGGCCCAGAGACTTATCAGCCCCACCAGAGTATTCACCAAAGGCCAGCAAGAGAGAATGGTTGTAACAATAAACTTTGTTTGGTTTCCATCTCTTGTACTGGTTTGTACTTTTTCCATTTTGCCTGGAAAATTCAGAGCCTAGCCAGTGTGATTCCTCGCCTTGTCTCACCTTTCTTCTCTGCTCCCCACCCTCTGGCTTAGTCTGTGGATTTCTCAGGCCTTCAGAGACATGGCTGGAGAGTATATGTGTTTCTCTGAACCAGAATTAAAAGTCCTGGCTTAGTCTGGCCTACAGATAGTGCACCTACAGACAGCCTTTACGTCGGTTTTTCTGCATGGCCTCACATGGGAAACCTGAGTGGCTGCTGAAGTCAGGCCTTCCGTATTACAGTGTCACCCTTTCTGACTCTCAGAGCTAAAGAAATTTGTCTGCATGATTAGGTATCAGCTTTATTGTTCCCATTTAGCTTGGAGTTTGCAGGTTCAGTTTCTTTTTAGCAAGTGAGCACTTCATATGTGAACCACGGACAGATTCAACTGCAGTGAATAAATGAAGGAAGGCACTGTGTTAATGCCATCAATATGCCTCATTTTGAGATTTCCAAAGATGGATTATCAAGCAGGATGTAGCAGATCGTCAGGTTTTCCTTTTGAGAAGTTAGGTATATTTTTAGCCATTCTCTCTGCCTTGCCAAACCTGATCTGCCTCATCCAAGGATCTGAAGTGCTGCATCGTGCTGCCCCCAACTGGTTCTTTTGGTGCTTATGTTACCACATCAGAAAATCTCAGATTATGTGGCACTTAAATTTTTAAAAAAATATATTTTTTTATTGATTTCAGAGGAAAGGGAGAGGGAGAGAGAGTTAGAAACATCAATGATGAGAGAATCATTGATTGGTTGCCTCCTGCAGGCCCCTTAATGGGGATCAAGCCCCCAGTCCAGGCATGTGCCCTTGACCAGAATTGAACCTGGGACCCTTTAGTCCACAGGCCAGCACTCTGTCCACTGAGCCAAATCGGCTAGGGCTTAAATTATTTATTTATTTACTTACTTATTTAATTTTATTTTTAAAAATATATTTTATTAATTTTTTTTACAGAGAGGAAGGGAGAGGAATAGAGAGTTAGAAACATCGATGAGAGAAAAACATCGATCACTGCCTCCTGCAAACCCCCTACTGGGGATGTGCCTGCAATCAAGGTACATGCCCCTGATCGGAATCAAACCTGGGACCTTTCAGTCTGCAAGCCGACGCTTTATCCACTGAGCCAAAACATTTCGGCATGGCTTAAATCTTTTAAAGCACTTTCATATATTTGTATTAGATTTTCATAATAACATTGTGAGTTATACGGATCATAAATTATCACACCTACTTTATAGGTGGAAAAACTGAAAGATAGCCTTATTAGTTGCCTTGTCCAAGGTAAATGATTATTAAAAAGTAGAATTGGACTAAAATTCAGATCTCTTGCCCCCGATCCTATTAGGTACCCTAGTCTTTTGTAAATTCAATAATACCCCTCATTATAGATATTAAGAGCTTAATTTTAGATTTGGAGGAATTTGCCCCCTTTTCTCCCTTGGAAGGAGGAGGGAGATAAAACCAAATTATGTGAGGTTTGAATAAATTCATTAACCTAATTGGCAAAAAACTTTGAGTTCCTGTTTTGCATGAGGCCTCTGACTTGGGTTTGCAGTCTCCTATCTCTGAGGTGTAATGTAGTGGTAAAGTGCATGATGCTGGAGCCAGGCTGCCTGGGTTTGAATCCTGGCTCTGCTTCTTAATAATTGGGTAACCTTCAGCAAGTTTCTTAACTGCTAAATGCCTTTTGTCAAATGAGGATAATGGTATACTTTACCTCATAGGGTTATGTGCAGTGAATGAGATAATTTTAAGTTCTTAGAATAGTGCCTGGCACAAAGTGGGCACATATAAATAACTATTAGCTGCTGTTATCATTAACCCCATATAAATATGCTTATTTGCTCTTTTTAAAAATATTTTTATTGATTTCAGAGAGGAAAGGAGAAGGAGAAAGAGAGAGAAACATCAATGATGAGAGAGAATCCTTGATCGGCTGCCTCCTGCACATCCTCCACCGGGGATCAAGCCTGCAACCTGGTCATGTGCCCTGACCGGGAATTGAACTGTGAACTCCTGATTTATAGGTTGACATTCAACCACTGAGCCATACCAATCGGGCACTTATTTGTTCTTTTAAAAAGTTAGGAATGATGAACAGCCAGATTTCTTAAAAAGTACATCTTCACATAGTTTCTCCATAGTTTTCTCTCCTACTCACTCCTCAGTTCACTTGGGTCTTAATCACTTTACTGAAACTGCTCTGGCCATGGTTGCCAATGTCTTCCGGGTTATAAATTCTGTAGATACTTTTGGTCTTTTCCTCTTTGGACTTTTAACTTTCTTTGACTTCTAGGATGACATTCTTACTTGATTCTTCTTTTCCTGCCTGCTCCTTTTCTCATCTTACATGTTAACTCCCGGGCAATTTCATACATTCCTTGGCTTCAGTGATTACTTTAGCTCAATGTTATTGCTTCCTAAATCTTAGTGTATAGCCTAACTTAGTTCCTGAACTTTAAACATCTCTCTATTTGACACCTCCACTTTGGTTGTCCCATAAGCCTTTAAACTCAACATTGCCTTCAGAGAGGAAGAGAGAGGGAGAGAAAGATAGAAACATCAATGATGAGAGAGAATCACTGACTGGCTGCCTCCTGCACGCCTCCTACTGGGGATTGAGCCTGCAACCCAGGCATGTGCCCTTGGACCCTTCAGTCTGCAAGCTGATGCTCTGTCCACTGAGCCAAACCTGCTAGGGCTCAAGTTTTATGTACATCTTTTTTTTTTTTTTTTAAGTTTTTATTGATTTTATTTTATTTTATTTATTTTTTAAATATATTTTATTGATTTTTCGCAGAGAGGAAGGGAGAGGGATAGAGAGTTAGAAACATTGATGAGAGAGATACATCGACCAGCTGCCTCTTGCACACCCCCCATCAGGGATGTGCCTGCAACCAATGTACATGCCCTTGGCCGGAATCGAACCTGGGACCTTTCAGTCCGCAGACCGAGGCTCTATCCACTGAGCCAAACCGGTTTCGGCAAGTTTTTATTGATTTTAAAGAGAGGAAGGGAGAGAGGGAGAGAGAGAAGCATGCCCCTTACCCACAACCCAGTCCTGATCCCCATTTGCCCCAACTGGGAATTGAACCAGAGACCTTTTGTTACATGGGGTGACACTCAGCCAACTGAGCCACACCGGCCAAGGCTCTAAGTACATCTTGAATCTTGCTCTGTTCTATTGCCTTAACTCAGACATCTTTCTTTCATCAGGATTATTGCAATACTCTTCTATTTTTCCTTTTCCATATTCTCCACTCTATTCTGTCATGCTATTGCTAAAATAATATTTTCTTTAAAAGCAAATATAAATGTTATCATGTTTAAAAGACTTTCTTTTGTTCCCTATAGAAAAGGTAAAGCCCATATATCTTAGCAAAGCATATGAGCCTCTTCTGGCCATAGTGGCTAAATTGGTTTTCTATATGCATCATGCATTTAACCTATATCTTTGCATATGCTGCTCCCTTTGTGTGGACTTTCTTTTCTGTTCCCCCAGGTTATTTTTTTGACATCTTATTTCCTTTGTGCAGCTTTCTCTGGCATGTTCAGATTGAGTTAGTAACTTTATTCTGTATGCTACATAGCACTGTGGTGGTACATGTACAAAGCTCTTATTTTAGCATTTACCAAATGCTATTGTTAGTCTGTATCCCTTAATAGATTGTGATCTCCTTAAAGGAAGGTATCTTTGTGTATAGATCAGTGTTTCCAAAACTTTTGACATATGTGTACCCCTTCTATAATTTTCGTAACGCTGAGTACCCCTCGTATTCATGAGAACATAGAATTAGGCACAACTAAGCGCGGTGCAGTGCATTTCCCCACCAAACTCCGGTGCAATGTGTACGCCCGTACCCCTGGGGGTATGCGTACCACACTTTGGGAAACACTGGTATAGATGCAGAATAAGCCCTCAGTCACCTAAAAAACAACTATGAACAAAACATCCAGTCTCTATCTTCTAAGTGTTACTCTCTAGTGGTTTCGCCACCAGTCTTATATTCCTGACAAATGGTAGCTGGGTTTTCCTTGTTTTACAGTATATCAACGCTGGAAACCTGGAACAGTTGCTAGACAGTAACCTGTATTTGCCCTGGACTGTGAGGGTGAAACTGGCCTATGATATAGCAGTGGGCCTCAGCTATCTTCACTTCAAAGGCATTTTCCATCGGGACCTCACATCTAAGGTATGAAGGCTTTACTTGCACCACTTGACACTGTCCTCCATTACCAAGAAAGCGCTGTTAGGAAACCAGTCATTAATAAGCTTTGAAATGTAGAGTTCTTTTATAGATTTCACATTTAAACACAGAGGATACAAATTAATACTTTATACAGTTAGTCCTTAGAAAGCCTATCTTGGCTCACAACAGGTACCTTTCAGTGTTGAGCCAGGCAACACATACATCTTGAGAAACTTCACGCTTTTCTTTAATCTCCTGAATGTGTGTGTTGTAGGAGCAGATGGCGTGAGGAGGGTTAAGAGGTTCTTGCCCAATAGGATGATAACAGTCCAAACAGTGTGGGAGCCTGTCTTTTATTGTTCTCTCTCGTAGCCTCCAGGAAGTAGTTCTTAACTGAGAGCAGGAGTTTGGAGATTTTCAGTCACTTGAGTGCAGGTTTTGAGGGCCATAATGTACTGACCCATTTTCTATGCGTGTGATTGAGTTTCTGCCATTCTGCCAGTTCCTCTTTGGTGTTAGCTGGTCTCTGTAGATTCTCTTGCTGTCCAGAGTGCTGTGTGACCAGGTTAGAAAACAGTTGCTTTCAGAGGAAGTTGGCCCTGCCGCAGGCAGGCCCCACCGGCCAAGGGGCCCAGGACACACTGGGACAAGGCTCATATAAAGAGTGCTGTTTGATCATCATATGAGCTGGTTTAAAGTCTTCTAGGGAAGTATATGAGAGTTTTGTACCTGCCCAAGAATAGCTGTCATTTTATTCCCCATCATCAACATATGCCCATGCACAACATACATGCATATATATACTCCCACACCTCTTCTTGACATGGATGAGGGATAAGGGAGAGCGTTATAAGAAAAAGTTTGCAAAGAGAACGAAAGCAGGCTGTACTCTCAGAGAAGTAAGTTTCTGGCTACCTCACACTAGAATGATGCTGGTGTTCCAAAGAGAAGTACTGTCCCTGAGGGACCCTGGCCATTGGTTGATAAACTACACAGAAAATAGCTTTAGGGGAGGTGAGTGTAGGGCCCATCAGCTGCACTGTTAATAAAGGAGCACTAAGACGGGCAAATGGAATGTGGTGACCAGCTGAGGCCTAGTGTGAGGACTGGATAGTTGGACAGCTGGGTTCTGGAAGATGGTATCTTTCCCCCTCACCAGCCTTGTCTCATCCCCTAGAAGGTTTTAGAAAGTCAAGACTAGGGAAACTCTACTTGTTCCAGGCAAATGAGTGGGTTCACGTCAGCTTAGACACTGCCATAAGTTGATAGCTTAGCCTCATATTGGGCATGCAGCCAAAATCAAATCTTTGCAGCATCATTTGCTCCAAGATGTAGAGAGATCATGATGAGTTATCCATCAGCCATACAGCTATTTCCCCCACACCTACATGAGTATGTATATTTAAAATATATATTTTTTTATTGAATTCAGAGAAGGGAGATGGAGAGAGAGAGAGAAACATCAATGATGGGAGAGAATCATTGATTGGCTGCCTTCTGCACAGAATTGAACCATGACCTCCTGGTTCATAGGCCGATGCTCAGCCACTGAGCCACGCTGGCCAGGCATGACTATAACCTTTTAGGAACTGTAGGGTAAGACCACTGTCCTTTGGTTTTCCTGATAGCGCGTATGTATTCTCCAATGCCTGCCAATGGCTTGAAACGAGAAACTAGGAACTTAGGAGAAAGTACTGTATCTCTCTGAGCTGTTTTCTGGGTCTGAACTTTAAGGAGGTATTGAGGGTACTTCCGTGTGGGAAGAACCAATGACTTTGCAAACTGGAGACAGGCTAGGAAGTCCATTTTAGAGAATCTCAAGTTGAAGAAGAACCAGGAAATTTTACAAACCAGACCATCCAATAGAAGAGACTGTCTGTGTTCACTGCCCTTTTATCATTTCTGACCTTTTGTCTGAATGTTCCAGCCTCATTGTAACTGTGTTGCAGGGATTAGGAAGAAGGTACATCCACACCAAGGCAGAGCAGCCCCACTCAGAAGACCTGTATTGTGGTAACAGTGACCACAATAGTGAGAAATCTTAAAGGAGAAATAGGCTAAATGGACAGAGTAGGGCTCTGACTTTTCCAGTTGATCTCCTCATTGCCAATGTTGGGTCTAAGTTTGATTTCTTTAAGTATAATGGGAGATTCACTGCATATTAATTTGTTTATTTTATTGTGTTGTGTCTCGCACCTAGCGTAGAGCCTGCCATAGGGGCTTTCTGGCTATCTCTCAGAAAATGCACTTGATAGTACAGAGGCCAAAACATCTGCTCGAGAGCTGAGATAGAATCCCAGACCCAGTTTTGTCCCACACCTCCAAATGACTTAAGTGCCCTTGGGGCCTCAGGGTTCCCAGTCTGTAAGATAGATTCTCTCTTTAACCTCACAGGAGCAATCAGTCTGCACTTCTCACACCAGAGTTCACAGGAGGGATTTTTAAAAAATATATATTTTATTGATTTTTCCACAGAGAGGAAGGGAGAGGGATAGAGAGCTAAAAACGTTGACGAGAGAGAAACATCGACCAGCTGCCCCCTGGGAATGTGCCCGCAACCAATGCATATGCCCTTGACTGGAATCGATCCCAGGGCCCCTCAGTCCGCAGACCGACGCTCTATCCACTGAGCCAAACTGGTTTCGGCCACAGGAGGGATTTAAAGTAGGGGGTAAGCCAGGACAGAGAAGCAGGTGCCTTTTTTCCAGATGATCCTGAGCCTGTGATAAAAGCAAAGAAGATCCCTCGTTCCTATCAGAGCATCTCCTGAAAGTAGTATTGCCTTTGCAGGATTCACATGCCAGTGGTTACTGTAGTACTGCTTTCAAGAGTGGAACGTCTGTCAGAGATAGCGGTTCAGTCTAATTTTGTAATTCTAAGAAATCGTCTGATACAACTTTGTGCAATGGTGATACTGATGGTTTACTTAGAAGGAAGTGGGAGGTAATGTGGCTTTAAAACTATTCACTTCATGAGCCATCAAGAAGTGACAATAACCACACACCAGCTTTTTCCTGTTGCTCTAAGAAAAGCTAGTACGACTGCACAAGCCTTGGTCCTCAGAGGCAGCTGAGAAAGCCGTTTGTTTCTGCTTATTACCTTACTGCCCTGGGTCGGGCAAGTACCACTGCATTTGGTTACCCCTAGGAGTATGGATTATGAATTGTGGCTATATTCTTGGTTGTTAGTTTTTGTATATAAGTATTACTTCATTGACTCCAGAGGACCACTCTGGTGGATCCATCCGAGTGAAAAGTCTTTCCCTTTATGGTCTTAGGCTGTACTGTGCAACAGCGAGGAGCAGAAAACATTCATTTTCAGAGACTGAAGAGAGCATGAATTAGGAACAATGTTGAATGCTGGAGGGGGAAGTAGAGTGTTGTCTATTAGGGCACCCTGTAGTCTTTTTTTAATAATGAGATTCATCAATAGCTTTTGAAAATCATTTATACTAATACTGTGATATTATTAGAGGACATAGTACATGAAACAGTGGCTCAGTGGTTGAGATTGGGGACAGAAATTACTGGAGCCGAAACCGGTTTGGCTCAGTGGATATAGTGTCGGTCTTCAGACTCAAGGGTCCCAGGTTCGATTCCAGTCAAGGGCATGGTACATTGGTTGCAGGCGCATCCCCAGTAGGGGGTGTGCAGGAGGCAGCTGGTCGGTGTATCTCTCTCATTGATGTTTCTGGCTCTCTATCCCTCTCCCTCCCTCTTTGTGAAAAATCAATAAAATATATTAAAAAAAAAAAAAAAAAAGAAAGAAAGAAAGAAATTACTGGAACACAATCTGTACCATCCTTGGGCTTTTATTTTTTCATTCTTGGGCATTTAGACTAGTTTAGGAGACAGATATGTGAGCAGATTAGTACATAAGAGCTATGGTAAGTGGGATGGAGGGTAAGGGATGGGATAGCAAACCAGATAATCTTCCAAGAGGCTTAAACAGTCTGTTGGGCATGTAGGAGGGCATTTCAGTCTCTGGCCTCCCTGTGCTGTGTTGGCTTTATTCAGTGCCAATAGTGACTCTGCAGTTGCTGTAGGAGACCTCAGTAAGTGCTCTCAGTGTTTACTCTGGCCCAGTTTTTTGTTTTTAATTTTATTTTTATTGATTTCAGAGAGGAAGGAGGAGGGAGAGAGAAATAGAAACATCAACGATGAGAGGGAGTCATTGATCAGTTTCCTCCTGCATGCCCCCTACGGGGGATTGAGCCTGCAACCCAGACATGTGCCCTGACTGGGAACCAGTCGTGACTTCCTGGTTCATAGGTTGATGGTCAACCACTGAACTACTGGCCCAGGCATTCAGTGGTTTTTAGTGTATTCAACCAACATCACTATCTAATTTCAGAACTTTTCATCATGCCAAAAAGAAACCCTCCTTATCCTATTCCCCTCTCCCTTCAGCCCTTGGCAACTAATCTATTTTTAGTTTCTATGGATTTTCTTATTCTGGACATTTCATATAAACGGAATCATATAACTTGTTATTTTCTGGGGAGTATCACAGTTAGATTTGCATTTTATGAAGATCATGCTGGCAGAAATGAGGAAGGCGTATTATGGAGATCAAGCCTGGACCAAGTTAGAAGAGTATTGCAATATTCAGGGGAGGAATGAATATTGAACTGAACTAGAGCAATAATAAGACGAAGAAGGAAGGACTGATTTGAAAAACATTTCAAAGAGAAAATTAGTTGGAGTAAGAGTAAAAATATAAGATAAATCCCAGGTTTCTGGTTTAGCAAACAGAATGAAAAAAGGCAGTACCAGCCTTAAAAAAAAAAAAAAAAAAAAAAAAGCTTGAGTTTTAGTTCTTGGGAGAAAAAGTTGAGTTCAAGTTTGCGTGAGTGTAGTTCAACACGGCAATCCAGAAGTTGTCCAGAAATAGGCAGGCTGTCTAAATCAGCAGCTTGAGGATCAAGGTCAGGGCTGAGGATATACATTTGGGAGCCATGAGCACAAAGGTGGTAATTAAAAAAGAAATGTAAGATAGCCTCAACAGAAGAGCACAAGAGCTATCGGCCTAAGATAGAACCTGAAAGCAATCATCTTCATCGGAAGGAAGAAGAATCTGCAATGGAGTCTGTAGAGTAGCCAAAGATAGAGAAGGAAATCCAGAATTATAGTTGTCATAGAGACCAGGAGTGCCTGGCTGGTGTAGCTCAGCTGGTTGAGCATTGGTTGGCCTGTGCACCAAAAGGTTGCTGGTTGCTAGTGCGATTCTCCAACAGAGTAAGTGGTCAAGTTGGGGGCTTGATCCCCCAGTCAGGGTGCATGCAGAAGGCAGCCAGTCAGTGTTTCTTTCTCTCTCTCCCTCTCTCTAAAATCAATAAAGTCATATTTTTTTAAAAAGCTAGAAGAATGGAATAAAAAAGGAATGGGAGTGGTTGAGTGTCGACCTATGAACCAGGAGGTCACAGTTCAATTCCTGGTCAGAGCATATGCCTGGGGTTTGGGGCTCAATCTGCAGGAGGTAGCCAATAGATGATTCTCTCTCATTACTGATGTTTCTATCTCTCTCTCTCTCCCTCTCCCTTTCTCTCTGGAATCAATTAAAAATTTTTTTAAACAAAAGGAATGGGAATAGCCTCTAACTAGCCTCTAATAGCTAATCTGTTAGCTCCAGGACCACAAATGATTATTCTCTGAATGCCTACTGCTAACACAATTCCTGAATAATACCTAAAAACACTGATGGAAGTAACCAGCAGTGTCAACAGCAGGAAGATCAAGTTATGTAAGCCATAGAACTCATTGGGATCTTCTATAATAATATTTCTAGCAGAAATGAGTGAAGGATGAATGGGAGATTCATAGGCATGATGACTGTGTGAGATGTGCTTCCCACAAACCTTTTTATGACTTTGACACATTACCTTTCTGATGTGAACTTAGAAGAAGAAAAAAGAATGGGAGATAAGGAAATAAAAACAGCTGGTGTTGCCAGACAAACCTCACTAGCCTGGGCCCTGTTAAGGGCAGGCCCAGGAGTTCGTTGGAAAACCCTAGGGGCTGATTCTGGTCAGGGTTCCTCCCCATTTTGCTTATCACCTCAGATTCAGACTCCTAACATTTGGTTCTTTTGGTTTTCAGTATCGATCTTTGTCTTTGGGTCTAATGCCTGGTTATTGGCTATGAATGAGCTTAAAAAACCCCATTTTGTAAGGCTCTCATCATCCCTGCCTTAGCCATTCTCAGCCGCTCATAGAAGCTACTGTGAAGTCACTGAATGGTGATTTGCAGTGAATGAACAGGTCTCCGTGAATGTGAAGATGGAGCAGAAACGGAACAGCTTTGACAAGGCAGGCCACTCTGGCCAAACTCTGTTCCTTATTTGCTGCTCCCCAGCTGTATTTAACAAGGTGGTTCTGAGGGCTATAAAACAAATAGTGAAAAGGACTTTAGACTGAGCCTTCGAGAAAGGAGCCTGAGCTGTTAGTGAAATAGGAAGAGAGAAAAATAGGTGACAGATCTGAGCTGTCACTACCTCATAGACCAGTGCCCTAAGCCTGGGCTTCGGCTGTCTAATAGTCAAGCTGGCTTAGGGCCCCAAAGACATTCAAAGTCACTGAGCTGGGGGATGCTGAGCCAGCAGGACTGATGGAGGGCTAACACTAGAACAGGCAAAAGGATGCTCCTGCTTGAAAGCTAGAAATGATGCGTGTCTCTCTGGTATCCAGGTCAGGAGAGGATGTGATGAAATCACAAGCTTATTCTGCTTCAGGGAAAAAGAGAATATAGTGTCATTGCATCAAGGTCAGAGTAAGGAACTGATTTGTACCTAATGTGGAGTAAGTAGGAGGTGACTTGGCAATGCCTTGGCAACTAGATGCCAAGGCCGGTGAGGCGAGGGAGGGCTGGTTTGGGTCAGATAGGGCCTTACTGGCCCGAGAAATGTCCCTGTGAGCCAAGGATCCCTACTCTCTGCTGCCTCTGGAGAAAGTGGGGTAGAGCAGAGTGGTGTAGGATTGTTCTGAATGCAACTATTTGAGGAGAGTTGGTTGCCTTGTATTTATTTACAAGCTGTTTGAGTTTCTCCTTTTTCTGGAGACAGTAGCAGTTGTTTAGTCAGCATGAGCTGAGCCTCTCTTATGAGGTGAATACTGTGAGGAACCAGAAAGTGCTCCTGAGGAGCTGATAGCCGGCTAGACTTTAAGAGGAAGGGGCATAGAGGAGGAGTTAAAGGAGTTGAAAGGAGAAAGAAATAAAGGTGAGAGCTGGAGAGGACAGGACTGGAAATGTTTCTTGCCTTAAAACATATAACATTTCGAGGTGAAAAGAATTGGGAGAACATTCCAAATGGAACAGAACAGTATAAGCGTGACCTTGCCTCTGGCTGGTATAATGGGATATCTGAACAGGGCTTGTAGGTCCTGTTTAGGCTTCACAAGTCAAGCATGTCTATGAAAGTCTGGATGAAGATGTGTGCAATTGGGCATCGGGGCAGAGGTAGGCAGTTAGTTTAGAGCCAGATCATAGACTTTTTAAAATATATATATTTTATTAAATTATTATTTTTGTACATATACCAATGCCCCCCCCCCCCTCCCGTACATACCCTCGCGCCCTAGAGTTTTGTGTCCATTGATTGTACTTATATGCAGGTATACAAGTCCTTCGGTCAGATCATAGACTTTTAATACCAGAGAGGAGGTTATTTGTGATCCTGTGGGCCATGAAAGTTAATGTTCGGATATTTGTTCTATGCTTATATTTCTTGGCAAGGCCAGGCCTGGCCTCTGGTCTGTACGTTCTGAAGAGGGAGGCCAGGGGCCCGAGAGCCCGTCTTCCTCACTAGATTGTTAGCTCCAAGAGGACAGGGGTTTCTGTTTGTTGAGGTGTCTCTAGCACTTAGAGCCTTGCCTGGCACATAGAAAGTAAAGTTAATATTTGTGTTTGGAGCATAATACGAATCCTAGGGTAGCCACTCAAGATTCAAGCCTACCTCATCTCACATGGCTGTCATGGTAATGTATGGCTGGCTGGTCCCCACTTCTGAGCCACCCTGTCTTCTTTTTTGGGAACTCTAGAACTGCCTGATAAAGAGGGATGAAAATGCCTACTCTGTAGTGGTAGCTGCCTTTGGCCTGGCTGAGAAGATCCCTGACATCAGGTGAGCAGCCCTAATGGGTACTGGTTACAGAAGCAAGTGAGGCAAAAAAAAACAACACAAAACAAAAAACACACAAAGTACTCCTGCTGCCTCTCCAGAGGCCAGGACTTGGTCACAGCTCAACCTCAGCTCCCTAAATTTGGTCAGTCCTAGTCTGTGCCCATTCTTGGGGGAGAAGAATTCCCAATATGGATATCCTATTATACCGGCCAGTGGCAAGCTCGTTTTCTGTATCATCTCGCCCTATAGCATGGGGAGGGAGAAGCTGGCAGTGGTGGGCTCACCCTTCTGGATGGCACCTGAAGTTCTCCGAGATGAGCCCTACAATGAGAAGGTGAGTCTGGGGGTCCCAAGGCTTGGTTGTCCTTAGAATCCACTCTTAGCAGTGTCCACCCTTCATGTTCAGGGGAGGATCTACAACCAAGAGCAGGGCTGGTACCTGGCAGCTACCCAGTGAATGAACTGAATGAAATATGGGCAGTAGAATCTAGGCCTGGGCTGTGGCCATGAGGGGCAGAAACCTCACTTCTCAGCCCACTGAAAGGGAAATTGAGGTCTCACTACCCACCAGGCGGACGTGTTCTCTTATGGTATCATCCTCTGTGAGGTCATCGCCCGCATCCAGGCTGATCCGGACTATCTTCCCCGCACAGAGGTGAGCTGCAGGCATGGGGATCAGTGCCACTGGGGTGGGGCTGCTTTTGAGGCTGTGGAACCATTTTGTTCTTGGGGTGGAGTTGCTGGAACTTAGTATGTGTGGCTAGTTCTTAGGGGCAATTCCCAGCCTCTCCTTCTGAGCAAGCCAGGATGGATGGAGGGATTAATGACCTATCTACCCATGTCCTCTGTTCCCTCCCCACTACACCCATTCACAGAACTTCGGGCTGGACTATGACACTTTCCAGCACATGGTGGGAGACTGTCCCCCAGACTTTTTGCAGCTTACCTTCAACTGCTGTAATGTGAGTGTCTCCTCTTGCCCCCGGCTTTGGTCAGGGGCTGGGTTCGCCTGGTTAGAACTGTAGAAAGAGCCTAATTAGCCTCATGAGGGGCCTCATTTTCATGGAGTGACAAATGCTCATGGCTCCTCCTCTGGAGGCCTGCCAGCCTCTCCACAGCACTGGTCCAAATAAAGGAAAATTGCTTTGTACTACCTGCTCCTCAGCCTGCAGGGTAGACCCACCACCCCTCGCCTTAGTGGAGCTCTGGTCAGGTTTTAGACCATGGATCCAGCTGGTCCTAAAGCTAATGGGAAAGGCTCTTGTTAGGTTTCATTTTATACAGCTCTGAGGCTGGACTTACCTGTTATGACCAAGGAATACCTGGGCTTTGTCTAGGTAACTTCGAGAAACACATTAGCAGCAGAACTTAAGAACAAACCAATGTGAACATAACCTTTAGGCGGGTTCTGTGCCAAAAAAAAGATAAGGCCCAGATGCCGAACCGGTTTGGCTCAGTGGTAGAGCGTCGGTCTTCGGACTGAAGAGTCCCAGGTTCGATTCCGGTCAAGGGCATGTACATCGGTTGCAGGCACATCCCCGGTAGGGGGTGTGCAAGAGGCGACTGGTCGATGTCCCTCTCTCATTGACGTTCCTAGCTCTCTATCTCTTTCCCTTCCTCTCTGTAAAAAATCAGTAAAATAGATTAAAAAGAAAAAAGAAAAAGATAAGGCACAGAAAGGTTGCTGAGACAGGGAAGGATATTAGATGGCAGCATCTTCCTTAACTTTAGCTCTGAGAATCATCCTGAGGGTCTGCAGCTTCAGAAAAGGTCTCTTAGCTGCACATCTGAGTCTTAAAAAATGCTAGAATCAGACTAAAATGCTCTCCTTGTGGGTGGAAGGTAGGAGGGCAGGGCTAATGGCTGCTGTGAATAACTACAGATGGACCCCAAACTGCGCCCATCCTTTGTGGAGACTGGGAAGAACTTGGAGGAAATTCTGAACCACCTACAGGAGGAAGAGCTGCAGCCCACCACTGAGGGTAAGACATTAGGGCTGTGGATGGAATCTGCCCCTGTAGGGCTGTGATAGCAGGATCCTGTGTCCAAACGAAAGGTGCAGGGTGGGGGACAATGGGAAAATACTGAACTCCAAGAGTTGTGATTTGGCATACTGCCTTCCTTCTTTCAGTCTGTTTTCTCACTGGTGAAATAAGGACAACAGTACCTACTTTGTTTTCCCGAGTAAAAACACTTTGTGTAGTGCTTCTGTTTGTTATGACCAGTGCAGTAATCCTGACTTGATGTACTGTTCTTCAGGACTCCTGGAGAAAGGCTCTGGGATGAAGCGACTGAGCTCACTAGATGAGAAGATCCCTCCCAAGTCCCCATGCCCAAGACGTACTATCTGGCTGTCTTGAAGCCAGTCAGACATCTTCTCCCATAATCCCCCACATACAGTGAACGTCTTGGACCCCTACTACCAGTCACGAGGCGGTGCTGCCAGCACCCCCAAAATCAACCCTTTCAGTGCTCGCCAGGACCTCAAGGGTGGCAAGGTCAAGTTCTTTGACCTGCCCAGCAAGTCTGTTATTTCCCTGGTATTTGACCTGGATGCACCAGGGCCTGGAACTTTGCCTATGGCTGACTGGCAGGAACCCCTGGTCCCACCTGCTCGCCGGTGGCATTCTTTGCCTGGTTCACCAGAGTTCTTGCATCAAGAGGCCTGTCCATTTGTAGGCCGAGAAGAATCCCTGTCTGATGGGCCCCCACGTCTCAGTAGTCTCAAGTACAAAGTAAGAGAGATCCCGCCATTCCGAGCATCTGCCCTACCAGCTGCTCCAGCCCCTGAAGCCATGGACTGCTCCAGCTCCCAGGAAGAGAACGGTTTTGGGCCCAGGCCACAGGGGGCCAGTCCCTGCCTTACAGGTGCCTCTGAGGAGATGGAGGTGTAAGGAAGGCCAAGAGACTTGGCTCCAGTCCCCTTCTCTGTCTCAATCATGGGCCTGAAAACCCGGAGGAGAGCAGGGTGGTTGAGGGGTTAATCCTTGCCACACCTTGGGGATGGACCTTCAGCTGAAGCCACAGGGCCCCCTCGGTGCACAGTCTGGACTCTTCCCTGAAGCCCACAGAGCAGGCAGGCTAGGCCAAGTCAGGCTCAATTTTGGTGCTCCAAGTGCCCAGTGACTGTGAGAGGGGAGGCAGCAGGGAGAAGCCTTCCTTTTTGGGGCCAACAGCTGATTCCAAGCCTCTGAAATCCTGCAAGGAGCTCTGGCTCCCAGCTGACCCCCAAGGCATTTTTCTGCAGACAAGACCAGAAGACTCCTAGTTCTAGTTGGAGCTGGCAGACAGCTATTACCCCAGGTTCTTCCTCCACCCCAGGTCTGTCTGTCACCCTTCCCTGGGACATACAAACTACTGGATGGAACCCGGAGCTGACCAGGAGGACGAAGAAGGCATGGCTATCTCAGACCTGAAGACTGGGGTGCTTCTTGCCAGAATGACTAAGACACTTGAATAATTGCTGTTTGCACTTACTGCACAGTCAGACCACGTCACTACATTTCTATGCAATGGAGAGGACAAGGCAGCGCGGTGGTCATGGCTTTTAGCTAACCTATTCAAAGACCTTTTCCAGTTCATTAACCTACCTTCCTATTTATGAAGGGAGTTTTAATGTTCTGCCTTACAAGACTTTTAACCTCGTGGTTGGGAGTGGGGCTGGTTCTGTAGGCCCTAGGGCCTGCTCCATGTATTTTTCAACATGGAATACACCCAATTGGTTAAACGGTTTATACATGGACTGATTTTCTTCCTTCCCTGCTATGGCTGGAGTTACGGGAACAGTCTTTATAGAGCCGCAATAAGAAATAACTAAAGATAAAGCTGGTCATACATTTTCATAACGTGTTTCTGCTGATTTTTTTGGTAAAACTTTCCCAAGACACTCCCAGACTTAAAAATAAAGTTGGTTACTACAGGTGCTGGTCAGCCTTCTTACTTGTACCATTGCTCCTCAGCCTCGGGGGTAGAGGCAGTCCAGAGCGATGCAGCAGTGTCTCTGTGAGGAGCCTTCCTCCCCAACTCCGGAGTCGTTGGGAAGAGGACATTCGTAGGCTCGAGGGACCCTCTGCTCTACCCTCAGCTTCTCTTCTTGGGCTCTGGGTGCTCAGCAGAAGTTAGGTCAGCTGCTGCCCCAAGCCAACTTCATCTTCTGGTTGTGGGCTTTGGAGGAACGGGAGAACTGGCTCTTGGCCACCGTGAGGGGCACAGATTTGCCACTCAGGTACACCTTGTTGTGGCATTCAGGGAGCCAGAGTCCAGAGCTACCGGGCTGAGGTTCTTGGCTTACTCCCATGTAAGCCATCACATAGCCTGTCATAAAGGCATCAAAACCAGCCCGATGCAGTCCACCTCCCGGCACTGGGTTAGGGCTGGCCTGACTCTCTGGTGCTTCTGAGGCAGCCGTGTCAGCTGTTTCAGGCTTTGTTGCTGTAAGTCCCATCTCCAAGTCATTTTTGTGATCTTGCTCAGAGGCAGGCTGGTTGCTAGCCTCATCCTCAGCCACCTCCAGCTCCGTTTCCTCAGCCTGGACGCCATCCCCACAGACCTGCTTAGTGGGAGGACCATCCTCGGCTTCCCCAGGCTGTTTCCCAGACAGACCCAACAAAGCCCTCCGTCGTTTTTCCTTACGTCGCCGCCGTCGCCGCTTATCCTTTGTGGCAGTTTCATCCGTGTCAATGATAAGGTCAATATCATGGGACCGAGGACACTGGGACCCCAAGGGGCACCAGCCGTAGGCCTAGGGGCAGGAAAGAGGCTTAGAGAGGGGTTCCAGGTCTCAGAACCTTCCCTCCCCCAGGAAACGGGTGGGAGTTCTCACCGAGAAGTTATCACAGATGATGGTGGTATGAGGACGGTGGGCTGCAGGGGGCATACAGCAGCGGTAGTCTACATGGGCCTTCATGCTAGAAGGATAGTTGCAGAACTCCAGGATAAGGTGTGGGCTGCCAGCTGCCCGCTGCTTTCCATTTTCCCGCTCACTGGAATAGCGCAAGAGGGTATTGGTCCACTAGCATATAAGCTTCATGCGAACAGGGTTTTTTTTATCGGTTTTGTTCATTGCTGAATCCTCAGCACTAAAACAGTGCCTGGCACATGATAGGTGCTCAATAAGTATAAAATAGGTTTATACCAGGCCCCACCGCTTCCCCTCAACCAGTCCCTTACCATTTCCGGAAGGCATATTCTAGGTAGGAGGCCACAAAGCGGGCATGAAACTCGGCAGCATATTTGGTATCATAAATGCCAGCTGGGAACATTTCACACAGGTCAGCGGTGAAGGATCCCAAGGTCTCGGGCAGATGTGCATAGAAATTCTGGTACAGGAACACCAAGTCTATGAGACCATTATGCAGTATCAGGGGCCGGCGGGCCCGGATCAGCTCCAGGAACAGTGTCCTCACTGACTGGCTCTGGCTCTCATCGCCCTGGTGGGAGAGAAAGGGGTCACCGAGGAGGGCTGAGCCCATACCCTCTTTCACAATATATTTATCCCGAGCTCTCCCACCTGGAAAGCGCTCCCTCCGCACCTAACCCAATGCTCTCCACCCACATATTGGTCTTATTTCCCCAGCCCTGTCACTACTGACTGCCTAAGAAGCAGGTCCTCCCGTATATCCAGCCTGTGGTAGGAAGAAGATGAAATCACAGAAGAGGCAGCCTCAAGGCTGGAGACCTACCTTGTCGTTGCCCTTATGGTACGGGATACCCTGGGCATACTGCCTGTTGAAGTTGAAGCCATGCTGTACCAGGAACTGCACAGACTTTGGTTCTATGACATACTCTTCCACGCACAGCAGGGTCAGATTGAACACCTGGGTCAGGTATGAGTGTTCACCCTGGGAGAGGAGGAGGATTCGCTACATCAAAACCTCACATGTGCCCAGCCAGAGTGGCCCACTGGTTGAGCATGGACCCATGAAACAAAGGTTCATGGTTCAATTCCCAGTTTTGGGCTTGATCCCCAATAGGGGGTATGCATGAGACAGCTGATCAATGCTTCTCATCATTCATGTTTCGATCTCTGCCTCTCCCTTCCTCTCTCAAATCAATAAAAACATCTAAAAAACAACAGAAGAACCTTACACATAATGTTCCCCAGGATGTCTACCCTCCTTTTACCTGGAAAGGGAATGAAATCAGCACATACCTTGTCTGGCTGCTGCTTGAAGCAGGCGAGGCCCAGGGAGAGGATAGAACGGGTCCTGGCAGCATGACATATGGCCTTATATCGTTCTTCGACGCACCTTGGGGTTGGGTTTGGGGTGGCTGTGGCTAGGAGTAAGCCTCATGAAGGGCCCAAACCACCCAGGATGACTTCCACTCCTAAGGTTTGCCCCCACTGCCCCTCGTCAGGGTTGGAACTAAAGAGATCACAGATTATACTTACTGGTTCAGCAAACTCTTCCTGTCCCCAAGCCCACTCAGTTCCTAAGGGTGGTTAAAGGGAGAGCTGAATTAGGTCCCCAACACAAGCCCTTTCACAATCACCTGCACTCCTAGTTCCTCAACCCTCACCGTGTCTACAGCCACGAAGCTAGCTGTCTTTATGGCCAGCAGAAGGGACGGCCACATCTCCTTAAAGTTGTCACTTTGCACATCCAGCACTGGAACCTGGACTACCGGCTCTTCCCCAGGTTTCGTGCTTTTGCTGACACTATCTGGGGGTAAGGAGAACAGAATAATGGAAGTTAATGATCAGGTAAGGGAGACAGGGAGCTAGGCCATGATGGCAAGAAATGGCAGCTTTCTCCCTTAAGCCTTTATATTAGCATGCTCTACACACAGACTTTGAAGTAAATAATGCCCTTAATTTGAGGAGAAAAAGCCTGGGTCTTCAAGGGACTTAAGTTAGACTTTGGGAAAATCACTTCTCCCTCAGCATCACTATCTGTAGAAGTATGGACAAGATCGGTGGTCAGCAAACTGCGGCTCACGAGCCACATGCGGCTCTTTGGCCCCTTGAGTGTGGCTCTTCCACAAAATACCACGTGCGGGCGTGCACGTACAGTGCGTCTGAAACTTCGTGGCCCGTGCGCAGAAGTCCGTTTTTGGCTCTCAAAATAAATTTCAATTATTGTACTGTTGATTTTTGGCTCTGTTGACTAATGAGTTTGCCGACCACTGGACTAGATGATCTGTGAGGTTCCCTTTTCCCATGTCCTGCAGCAACTATTTGTTACAGCTTCAGGAGTTCAGCTCCTTTAATATCCCATCAGGCTCCATACTACGGTTCCCTTGGTGCCCTCGCAGCCACAATCCCCGGAACCACTACTAATTAGGCCCCAGAGATAATGCCCTACACCTGGCTTCCCAATACATCCCACTTCCTTTGGACCACAACTCCCAACCTGCCCCACTTAAGAGAAATGAGTTCCAGACTACATTTCCCGACATGCCCGCCCACGATCCTCACTGTGCTCTTAGCACTCCAGGCTTGCGCAGCCCGAGCCGCGGTGCACACTGGGACTTGTAGTCTCCTCGCGGCTAGTTAAGAAGGGAGAAGTTAGTCCTCCGAAACTTGAGGTCGGTTTCTAGAACTATGAGCCAGAGGCCTTCCCCTCCCCCAGGGCGCACGGGCTTTTCAGTCGGCCCCTGAAAAGCCACTCACTGTCAGAGATCGCCGGAGCTGCGCCATCGTCACTGTCGCCTGCCATGACACCGCGCGGCCCTTGCCTGACTAGTCGGTGGCAAGAAACGGCAGGACTTCCGCTTTGTCTCCAGGCGCGACTAACGCGTTCGAGGGTAGGGGCAGGCTCTGGCCTCCGGAAGTCGCTGAGCGGCGGGAGTTCCGTTCAGACCTCCGGGGTCTGGCGCGCAGCGGGTTCGGAGCGTCCTGGGATCCTATTGGCTGTCACGGTGGAGCTCGCCGCCCGGATTGGCCGGAGCCACGCCCCCGGGACCGTGGGTAGCCGGACACGTGAGAACGTGGGAGGTAATTCTTCGTGTACGTGCTGTGGGGACGTGGGAGTGATCTTCGGGGACACGGCTCCGGGGTAGGGGTGGGTGTCCCCAGAGGAGGTGGCGCTGCCAGAGCTAAGCCTAAAGCAGCCGGAGGAGTTAGACAAAGACCGGGGAATGTGGGGGAAAGATGTCTGTGCTGGGGAAGGGCGAGGTCCCTGCGAGGATGGAATTCACTGCGTTCCAGAAAGTGAAAGGCGGGGAGGAGGACTCGAGCCGAGGCTGCAGAGGGGTTAGAGCGATCCACTCGCAGGGGAGCTTCTGAAATAACCCAGGCTGGTGGCAAGAATGACTTGAATTAGGCTCCAGCAGGAGGGACGACGAGGAAGGGACACACTGTAAGCAACTTGGAGGTACAGGGGATCCAAGGTGGTTGGACATGACTCCTGCTGCTGTGAGCGAGGAGGTGTGCCCACCAGAGGCACCGCGCTTTCCCTGGAGCTGCAGTTCCCATCCTCTCAGCCCAGCAAGGACTCAGCGCTTTCTCCGTGGTTACTCACTGTTTCTTGTTCATTTTCAACTTTTCTACTGAATCTTTTTCTCATTATTCAGAATTGTTTGGATTTCTCCTACACTTAAAAAAAAAAAAAAAGGAAAATACTTCCATCCCAGGAATTAACAAGTATTTACTGTATACAATTTACCTAGCACTGTGCTCAGTTCAGAGGATACAACAGTCACCAAAAGAAACCCAGGATTTGCTCTCATAGAGTTTTACAGTCAAGTTGGGGAAGTGGACACTGATTAAAGAAGCAAAAAAAAAAAAAGTGTAATTGCAATTGGTGTAAGGGCAATAATGGAGAAATACACAAGAGGGTAGGACTGGGGGGACCTGATGTGGACTGTTAAGTCAAGGCCTGAAGAATGAGTAGATGTCAGGTAGAGCATAGGAGAAGAGCTGTCCAAGTAACAGATTGGGTCAGGCCTCAAAGTAGACAGACACTTGGTGGGTTGAAGCATCTATTTCAGGCAAACATGGCTGGAGCACAGTGATCTAGGTGATGAGGCAAATGGGGCCCTGGAGATTCCAGGTTGAGAACCATTAGCAGGGTTGCCTAAGACCATCGGAAAACACAGACATTTACATTACGATTCATTAGAAGTAGCAAAATTACAGTTATGAAGTAGCAACAAAAATAATTGTATGCTTGGGGGTCACCACAACATGAGGAACTGTATTAAAGGGTTGCAGCATTAGAAAGGTTGAGAACCACTGACAGGGTCTGGTGTATATGAAACTGTTAGAAAAAGGAAGCTACAAGGGAGAAATGATCAACCAGATGCATTTTATCTTTGCTAATGGTCATGATCTAGATCACAGAGATTAGGCATGAAAATAGCTCATCTCTCTCCCCCCTCCCTGATTTGACATCTGCTCTCAGGCAACTCTTTTCTCCTTTCTGATCCTTGGTTTCTCCTTTCTACAGAATGAAGGTTTGGACTAGATGACTATTAAAGACTGCTTCATTGTCAATGTGCTGCATCTCTAAGCAGGTAAACCTCCTACCCACTGCCGTGCTCCTGGACACAGCTAAAGAACCCCTGTCCACACACATGGTCACAGTAAGCATCAGGTATGCACAGGTGCTCCCGCACAGGAAGCTTTTGGTCCTTGACCCAGCCCAGCCCTGGCCTCTTACTTTGTGTACGTCTCCAGGACTATACTGCTGGTCCCTCTTGGGCCATCTGGAGACGCTCAGCCCTATCGGTCATACCTCAGTGCCACAGCCAGTCAAGAGCAAGCCCATGAGCATCTAGAGAGTTGTTTGTTTTAGAAAATGTTTTTATTGATTTTTCAGAGAGGAAGGGAGAGGGAGATAGAACCATCGAATAGCTGCCTCCTGCATGCCCCCTACTGGCTCCCGTATACCCCTCCTGAGGATAGAGCCCACAGCCTAACCTGGGCCTGTGACCTGACCAGGAATTGAGCCAGTGAGTTCAGCTCTTTTCTCAGAGTTGTTGAGAAAAACTAGACCCCATGTGAATGGTGTAAGGAAGGAGGTGGCTCCACACCCTACAGGGCCCCAAGATTCAGCCGAATTTTGACTGACTGCTTTGGCTGGGCCTTTGTGTTCTAGATCGTCATGAAGAAGCCACGAGCAGCTGGAGGAAGTCGTCCCAGGAAGCAGACATCCAGCCGGGAGGAAAAAAAGAAACGTGCCCTCAACAGCAGCCAGGCCAGCCCTTCTCCCCCTGGTGGTGAGGAGCTTGGACCTAGTAAAAAACTCATGGGCTGGTCTCACTGGCTCTGAAAGGGGGCAGATTCGAGCCTGCAGGGACTAATTCTGACTTTGCAATGTGATTTTGGGATAATTGCTCTGAATGGCTGCTTTCTTGCCGGTGACACGGAGCAGTAGCCTGTGCATTTTCTTCCTCACGTGGCTTTCACAGGATCAAATGAGTTGATCTGCCTGAAAGTGTTCTGTGAATGGGAAGTCCCTGCACAGGTTTGTTATGCTTGGCTGAAACTGTTGGGTTTTCATTTTGACCCAGAGAAAAGGGAGCCAGCAGTACCACTCTGGGAAGATTAAGGCTAGAGACTTGGCCAGGGCTACTCACAGCTAGATAACTTTGGACTGACTGCAGGTCAAGGGTAGGGGGAGCCCTCAGTGGAAGCAGACTGCACCCAGGCTGGTAGCGTCCCAGATCCCTGGTGCACAACTCCTGAGTTTCCTGAGCCCCCAGCAGGCCAGGCCAGGCGTCAGGAGGAGGTGGCATTGCAGGCTTCTGTCTCCCCGTACCATCAGTTCGGAGATACAGCCGAGGTCACAGCCTTCCGGGAGAGCCTGCTGAGCTGGTATGACCTAAAGAAGCGGGACCTCCCCTGGAGAAGGCGGGTAGGCAGGCGAGGGACAGGGACGGGGCGGGAGGCTAGTGCCCAGCCCCCTCCACACTAACTCCCCGTCTGGGATTGCCTTGGCAGGCAGAGGGGGAGGCGGACCTGGACAGGCGGGCGTATGCGGGTGAGTACATCTCCTGGGAACAGAGCTGCTTTTTTGCCTGGACCCCCTCAGATGGGAATCGGGGCTCTGGGCCAGGAGCAGGGCAGGTCCGCAGTGTCCTCACACCCACCCCTCCTCCCCAGTATGGGTCTCAGAGGTCATGCTGCAGCAGACCCAGGTTGCCACGGTGATCAACTATTATACCAGATGGATGCAGGTGACGTCAGGGAACGAAGGGGCGGGTGACGGGCCGGACCCCAGATGAGAGCCTGGCTTTGGGCTGGGGGTGGGGAAAGGCCTCCTGGACCCCCCTCACCCTCCACCTCTCTATTTGTGCCTGTCTTCTGGCTATAGAAGTGGCCAACACTGCAGGACCTGGCCAGCGCTTCCCTGGAGGTGAGACCCGCCCTAGGGGAGGGGGAAAGGAGGACCACGGAGGACGGAGTGCTGATTTCTCTGACCTCTGACCCCACCCACAGGAAGTGAACCAGCTCTGGGCCGGCCTGGGGTACTACTCCCGAGGCCGGCGGCTGCAGGAGGGAGCCCAGAAGGTGAGGGATGGCAGGGAGGGTGGGGTCCCCAGGCCCTCAGATGTCTCCTGACCTCGAGCCTCTCGCACCCCCACCAGGTGGTGGAGGAGCTCGGGGGCCAGGTGCCGCGCACCGCGGAGACCCTGCAGCGGCTGCTGCCGGGCGTGGGGCGGTACACAGCGGGGGCCGTCGCCTCCATTGCCTTTGGCCAGGTGAGCCCGTAGTCCACCCTCGTTTTGTGCAAACCCCCTTCCTCCCAGCCCAGCTGACTCCTGCGCTCCTGTGCGTCAGGTGACCGGGGTGGTAGATGGAAACGTGGTGCGGGTGCTGTGCCGCGTCCGAGGCATTGGTGCTGATCCCAGCAACACCTTCGTCTCCCAGCAGCTCTGGTAGGATATGGGGGTGATGCAGGGCACTGGGGAGGGGGCCTCCAAAGGACCTTTGCCTCACAGAAATGTTCCCTCCTGGTAGGAGCCTGGCTCAGCAGCTGGTAGACCCAGCCCGGCCCGGAGACTTTAACCAAGCAGCCATGGAGCTGGGGGCCATGGTGTGCACCCCGCAACACCCACAGTGCAGCCAGTGCCCTGTGCAGAGCCTGTGCCGGGCACGCCGGAGGGTGAGCCATCTGGGGAAGGGGCAGCGAGGTCCTCGGGGGTGCCCCGTGCCCCGTGACTTCCTTCCCTGTGCCTGTCAGGTGGAGCGGGAGCAGCTGCCAGCCTCACAGAGCCTGCCAGGCAGTCCGGACGTGGAGGAGTGTGGTGAGTGCTGGTTCTAGCCCCAGCCCTTCCCTGCACCGTCACTGAGCTGCCTGGGAAGCCTCCTTCTAGCTCATCCTACAACCTGAGTTAGATTCTGCAGAGCTGGGCCAACCCCTGCTCTCTGGGCCTGGCACTTAAGCCCACGTGGCCTGAGTGGGGCTTGGGGATTTCTGTTCCCAGCTCCCGGCACCGGGCAGTGCCAGCTGTGCGCGCCTCCCACAGCGCCCTGGGACCAGAGCCTGGGAGTGGCCAACTTCCCCAGGAAGGCCAGCCGTAAGCGCCCCCGCGAGGAGTGCTCTGCCATCTGCGTTCTGGAGCAGCGCAGGGCCCCCGGGGGGGCCCGGGTTCTGCTGGTGCAGAGGCCCAGCTCAGGTACCTGGATCCTGGGGGTGGAGGGCTGTGGTGTGAGCAAAAGGGGAGAGATGGAGGAGTCAACAGCAAAGGCCTAACTCACCTGCTGCCCGCTGTCTCAGGTCTGCTGGCAGGGCTGTGGGAGTTCCCCTCTGTGAGTGTGGATCCCTCGGGACGGCATCAGCACAAGGCCCTGCTGCAGGAGCTGCAGAACTGGGCTGGGCCCCTCCCCGCCACCCACCTGCACCACCTGGGGCAGGTAAATGAGCAGCGAGGGGGCCAAAAGGGGTGGCTTTTTCAGCCGCACCCACGGGCCTGTTTCAGCCCCTGGGTCCTCCCCCAGGTGGTCCACACCTTCTCTCACATCAGGCTGACCTACCAAGTGTACGGCCTGGCCCTGGAGGGGCGGGCCCCAGTGACAGGCACGGCTCCCGGCGCGCGCTGGCTGACCCGGGAGGAGTTTCACACCGCAGCCGTCTCCACCGCCATGAAAAAGGCACTGTCTTTATTGTCTTTGTTGTGCTTTCTACATGTTCTGCATGAACCCATTACCATAGAAACAGAGGAGGACAGGGTTCTGGCTCTTTGGAGGAAGGTGCCAGCCCCGCACGCCCCCCTCTCTTCTTGGCTAGGTGTTCCGCGTGTATGAAGGCCAGCAGGCGGGGACCTGCAAGGTGAGTCCCCTGGCCCTCGCCCAGCCATCTCTCTCCCTCGCACTGAACCCACAGCTTCTCAGTGAGCTAAGTGACACCGTAGGGTGAACATTGTCCCCCCCGCGTTTCACCAGGCGGCGAGGAGCGACCTAGAGGCCTTAGAGAGAAGGACCCAGGTGGAGAGGGGACAAGAGGAAATGACGGGGGGACAGTGGTGTCAGATGCGGGAAATGTTTGTGCCAGGCTTTGTGGGGTGTGAGGTGGAGAGCTCTCCGTTCTGCCGGGAGGAAAGGGTCAGGGGAAGGCTGCTTCAAAGAAGTGGCAGGTAATGTGGATCCTAGAAATGAATCGTTTTCTCCGGGTTTGGGAAGGGAATCAGCAATAAGGATGTTCTTCCGGGCCCAGGAATAGTTTAGCCCTGGTTTGTGTTGCTCGGGGGTTAGATCTTGGCTCGAGCACTGAAGGGTTCTGGTCAAGGGCGGCATGTACCTGGGTTACAGGTTTGATCCCCGCCCCAGTCGGGCCTGTGCGGGAGACAACCATTCAACGTTCTCTCTCTCTCTCCCTCTGAAAATCAATGGAAAAAAATATCCTCAGGTGAGGATTAAAACTCAGTGGAAAAGGGTGAGGATGAACAAATCAATGAAAAGTAGTGTAAGTAATGGTGGACCCAGTGCAGTCGGCATGGGTGAGGAACTCCGAGCATCTAGCTGGAGCAGTCGGCCGGGCACGGACACCAGCCCACTGAGCATTTTAGGTGGCGAGAGGAGTCAGACTTATATTTGAGGAAGATTACCTTGGACTGCCGTTTAGAGAGCTGATGGAAGAGGCAGATTCTGGAAATAGGTTGGAAGCTTTCAGGCCAGAGTCTGAGCTAGATCAGTGGCGTGGAAGTAGAGGTGAAAGCAGAATATTCGTCACTGTCCCCTCAGTGCCTTCTTTGGCTTCCAAACAGCGTCCCAAAAGATCCCAGGTGTCCACTCCCTCCCGCCGGAAGAAGCCCAGCCCAGGCCAGCAAGTCCTGGACAGATTCTTTCGGCCCCAAGTCCCCACAGATGCACCGACACCCAACAGTGCGGCCCAGTGACGCACCTGGAAGCCCCTCCCCTTGAGAATCCCGTTTTTTAATAAAGTACTTATTTTTATAGTCATTTTGGAGACTTTGCATCCTCTGCCTACCCCCCTTGCTCCTCACCTCTGAGGGTCCCAGGAAGTGGTGAAGGCCTGCTTGCTCCTGACTTCCTCTGGCTGAGCTCCCAGCCAGCCCTGGGCAGAGAGGGGAGCATGTTCTCTCCAGAGTAACCTGCCCGCCCTCAGCCCCAGGAGAGGGGGAAGGCAGCTGCAGGAAGTACCGCCAGCACCTGAGACCCCACACCATCCCAGGTGTCTGGTTCTGTAGAGGTGGAACCCTCTAGAGCAGGTGGTTTGGCTCAGCCCTAACCTCGCCCCTCCCTCCCTTTTGTGGCTGCTCCTGAGGGAGAAGGGAAGGAAGCACAGAGGAAGATTTGTTCTTAAATTCCTACCTCAAATAAGAAATCATTTATTTGGGGATAAATCACACAGGTAGTGAATCAATACAGAAAAGCAAGGGGTTAATAATCCTAAAATTGGGAGTGGATGAAGGGAAATGTGGTCAGAGTGCATAAAAGTCTTCAAGAGCATTGGTTTTGTTCTATTTCCTAAAGGAGTTACACTCCTTTATTCTTTATATCTCCTATATATATTAGATATATAGACTGTAAAAAGTGTTTTATACTTAAAAACAAACTGACTTCTTTGGACCCCAGTGAGAGATTCAGCTCCTGGCAGGTGCTGGTGAATGGCGGCCACACCTGGCCGTAGGGACAAAGCCTTATTCCGCCGGGCCCCCGCGGAACCCCCAGGCCTCTAGGACAGGTGGCTGCCAGCTCCGGCTTCCTGGCCCCTGGCAGCCTGCTCCTCCACGGACTGCCACAGGGCCTGGATGTTGCCCTGGCCAAAGCCTGTGGCCCCCTGCCTCTGAATCAGCTCCAGGAAGAAGGTGCCCTCCGCAAAGAGGGACTTGGTGAAGACCTGGAGCAAGAACTTGCCTTGGTCGCCGTCTAGCAGGATCCCCTGCAGGGCCAGCTGGTCGGGCTCATGGCCTGCAGCGAGGATCTGACTTTCCTTGCCTGGCCGCTGGTAGTAGGCCTTCGGAGGGGTCAGGAGCTGGCCCCCAGCCAGTGTCACCCCTTCGGTGGCTTCTATGATGTTTGGTGTGTACAGTCCCACGTGCTGCAGGCCCGGTCCTCCGTGCTGGGCCAGGAACTGCTGCACCTGGTCCAGGCCGCCGGCGGCCCCCGGCAGGGACTCGGCCAGCACGAGGGTGGGGACAGCACTGCCTGGCGGGGTCTGCAGGGCAGTGAGCCTCAGCCCCCCTTGTCCGGAGCCCGCTGTCACCTCGAAGCCCAGCTCCGGGTCCTCACCTGGGCTCAGAGGCAGGTGGTGAAAGCCTAGACAGTCCTGGAACCAGCGCAACAGGCTAGGGGAGCTGCCGCGGGTGCAGGCCAGGGTGAGGTGGTCCACGTGGCTGAACCAGCCGCGGCCTGCGGTGGAGGGCAGAGGTCGGAAACCGGGCAGGAAGGGCCCGCGGTAGTCGGTGCGCTCCAGCAGCGTCAGGCTGAGGTTGCCTGCGGGCGAGCTGACCACGGCGTAGGTGGCGGCGCCCAGCGCATCCTGCACACGGACCGGGGGCACCGGCACGCAGCAGCCCTTCGCCGCCAGCGCCCGGGCGGCCGCCCCCGCGTCCGCCACCTCAAAGCACAGGTTGGCGGCGCTGGGCACGGGGTGGCGCGGGTCCAGGCCGTAGAGCGGCTCCGGGGCGCCCGCGCCCTCGTTCACCAGGAAGACGGCGCGGCCGCTGCGCAGCGCCAGCTGCCGCCAGCCGCCCGCCGCCCGCGCCGCCAGCGGCTGGAAGCCGAAGAGGCGCTGCAGGTCCCGGGCGAGCGGCTGCCCCGCGGGCACGTGGAAGGCGATGTGGCACAGCCGGCGCGCGGGCGCGGCCATGGCGCTGCGGCCGTGACCGCGGACTGTCCTTCCCCTCGGCCGCTCACTGGTCTCCGGGGCGCTCCGTCGCGAGCTCGTCGTCGGAAGCCGCCGGTGGGTCCAGCTTTGCCCGCAGAGCGCGTTCCCAGCACGTTTCGGGGAGAAGTCGCAGACCGACCCCCCTGGGTGCGTGTGGTGCTTCCAACCACCCCAACCTGGAGATCCCCAGGGACCACCGGGTCCGGGGCGAGCGGTGAAAACCACGTGGAGCCGGTGCTGGGCGGGGCGGGGCGAGGGGCGGGGCCGGCGGCTCCGAGGCCGAACTCCCCCGCCCCCGCCCGGGCCGGCGCGGAGGGTGCGGCGGGGACCGGGCTGCGCCTTCACGGGATGCACTGAGCGGCCCTCCCCGACTCCGGATCACAATAGCTGCCTTCACTCGTTGCCGGCGCTGGCTCTCATCCCGCAACCTCGGAGCAAAGGGAATCTGCCCCAGCTGGGAGAGGAGCCCACATTCTCCCCCGCAAGCAAGGGATATTTTATTTTATTTGCAATTTCATGTTTTAGCTTAAAAATTCTGGAGAATTTTGCTTTTAGTCCTAATATCCCTTTGAGACTTTAAAAATATTTTAGGACATTTAACTGAAAGCATTTAACTTTAACTTTAAAACGTCTTAGGTGAGAGCCCTGGCGGGTAGCTCAGTTTGTTAGAGCATCATCCAGATGCACCAAGCTTGCAGGTTCCATACCTGGGTTAGGGCACATACAGGAGTCAAACAATGATTGCATAAATAAGTAGAACAACAAACTCACTTCTCTCTCTCTCTCTCTCTCCCCCTCTTCCTTTCTCTTTCTCTAAAAGCAATCAATAAAAATTTTAAAAAATGTTTTAGGCTATAGGTTTTCATTCCCTGCCCAACATGAACCAGAGAAAGGAATATTCTAGGAAGATATGGCTTCTAGATAGGTCTCCTTTCTCTTGAGCAATCTCTCAGCTCCACGTGTCTCTTTCTTCAGCCCTATTTTTCTCCCAACATCATGTTAACGCCTTGTCCCAAGCAGCAAACTAGTGGTTCAGGACCTGAGAGAAACTGCTGCACTGGTGTCCTTTCTCCCCTGCTGAGCCCTATGGGACTGAACTCCAGCCCTCCGTGTCCTCTATAGCTTCCTGGCTTTGAATGGGGCCAGAGGAGCTTCCAGGGGTGTTTCTGGCCTCGAGCCCCAGAAGTGTGTGATGTAACTGGATTGAGGAAGTTAGGAGTCTTCTGGGACTTCAGTGGGAACTCCTGAAGGGCTTGGGAAGGACAAATGGGCTGAGCAAATCCTCAAAGGAGCGATGGAGCATGAGGGTCGGGAAGCATTTGGGATGGATGTCACGGTTCCAGGCACTGCAAAAGAGGTTCATTGTGATGTGATGACTTACAGTTGAGGTTCATTGCCAAGAGGGAGAAGGATTGATCAGGGGAGGGACTTGAAAAAGAAAAAGACAAACAACAAACAGAAAAACCCAGGTCTGGCTGGGTGCTCAGGTCTGCAGCCAGGAGGGCAGAGCCCAGAAGCTGGTCAGCAGTGGTGAAAAGCAAAAGGCAGTTGGTCTCCTCTGCAGACCAGTGAATCTGAGGACATGGGTTCCAAAAGCCAGGCAGACCTTGGTTTGAAATCTACCTCCAACATTCACTAGCTGGATGACTTGGGCCAAGTTGCTTAACTTCTCTGAGCCTTAATTTTTCTCATCTGTAAAAACGGCAATAATAAAGAGTATGTCATAGGCTTGCTGTAATTAAATGAAGTAGTACATGCGTCAGCCTCGCAAGGGATTCAGGTTTTAGCCTGTGAAACTGGGCCTGACTATGATGGGTTACTAGTAGGGGTGTCGAACTCAATCAGAGAAGGGGCCAAAATCTAAAATCCAGCCTAAATCGCGGGCCGAATGGTTTACTGAACAGTCATAAACTGTCATTGTGATGGAAACGCAGCGGAGTGCAGTGATGACAGCACTGTACGGAACACATTGCAAGGCCTGGCGGGACGGATTTGGCCCTCGGGCCTTGTGTTTGACATATGTGGGTTAGGGCTTGAGGGGCTGTAGCAGGTCGCAGAACAACAGGCACAGTAGGGCTATTCCCCAGGCCTGAGCACTGGGAAGGCACTGGCAGGGCCCTCGCTTTGGTGATGAATTCTGGAGGGAAGGGACCCTGAAAACAGGGCTCTTTAAGGGCTGGGCAGAATAGGCTGTCACAACCAGGGTCTCAAGATTGAAAAATGCGCCGCTGAAACCGGTTTGGCTCAGTGGACAGAGCATCAGCCTGTGGACCGAAGGGTCCTGGGTTTGATTCCAGTCAAGGGCATGTACCTTGGTTGCAGGAGGCAGCTGGTCAATGTTTCTAACTCTCTATCCCTCTCCCTTCCTCTCTGTGAAATCAATAAAATATATATATTAAAAAATCTATAGACGAGTGCTTTCATGGTCAGGATCCTAAGTGAGCCGCTCTAATGCCTCCAGGCCTTAGCTCCATCAAGGGTTCTAGACAGAGGGAGCAGAAACAGGACCCTGACCCATCTTGGCCGGGATACAAGAGCACCGTGGTCCTGCTTAGGCCCCATGCTTGGTCTTGACGCAGGTCTCAGGCTGGCCTCTGCAGGTCCCCTGGGGGGAGAAGTGGCCACAATGTTGGTCTCTGTCTCTCTGGCATCTGGCAGTGACCAATAGAGGACTCAAGGGGACAGGACTTTCCAAAGATGGGTTCCTCAAGCCTGGCCACTTTCTTGCTGGGGCCATGATACAGAGGGTGGGCATGCAGGTCGAGACCAAAACAAACTACAGCACTCCTGGAGGGCGCGAGGTAGAAGGGGCGAGGCAGTGACACTGCGGGCCCTCCTGCCATATCTGCTTCCACAGCGACCGGGTGAGCAGAGGCCGTGGCAGGGGCTGTGAAGGGCTAAGGAGCTGAGCTAGTGGAACCCCATCCTTCCTGCAGGTGCAGGCCCAGGCTAGCTCCTCCGAAATCCTGACCCCCACCTCTTCTCAATCTCTCCTCTCCCAGAAAGCAAGTCACCCTAGGAACTCGTGACCCCCAAGATCCTGTCTTTTCCAAACTCCCTCCCCTTTCCCTTCTCCCAGAGGTGGCCCGGAAGTTCCCTGCCCTGCCAAACCAGGACCCCATCCCTCTTCCAGCCTGCCCTGCGGTTGACATTTTATAAAGGGTGGCTCCCGAGACCTCACGATGAAGGTGACTTTTGTTGTGGTGGTAAAATCGCACAATACTATTTACCACGTTAACCGTCTGTAAGCGTAGAGATCGGTGGTATTGAGTACATTGTTCTGCAACCAGCACCATCACCCATCCACCCAACTCATCCTCCCCAACTGACACTCCCTACGACCCCTCCCCAAAACCCCTGGCAGCCTCTATTGTCCTTTCTGCCTCCAGGTACCTCTGTAAATGTCACAGTAAGAAACATTCAAACCTATGGAGGATTTCTGTGCGTTTATTTGAGCCAAACTGTCGGCAATTGCTGGGAAGCAGAATCTCAATAGATTGGGATAATGCTCCAGAGAATGGAAGTTCGGTTTTTCTTGAACCTATTTTTATAAATTACAATCAAAGGAGGAGATGTAGGTGTGTTACATGAAATCCATTGGTGATAGACTAGGGAGGCAGGAGAAAGCAAAGGAAGGGAGGGGGAGGAACTTCTGGGATTGGATAAAAAGTAATATGACAGACACATACTTCTTTTACTTAGGTGGGTACAGGGTAGTTAACAGTCAACAATTAAGATGATAGCAATGAAGGAATTTGTGGTATCTGTCCTGGCACCCAAGACCTTTGGTTGTGCCCTGAGGGGTCTATAAAAAGGAAAGTTACAAGTTACCCTGACATTTCAATGATATGTTATCATGGATGCAAAAAGACTAAGATAAAGCTGGGACTGGTTGGCTCAGTGGATAGAGCATTGGCCTGCGGACTGAAAGGTCCCAGGTTCGATTCCAGTCAAGGGCATGTACCTTGGTTGTGGCCACATCCCCAGTAGGGGGTGTGCAGGAGGCAGCTGATCGATGGTTCTCTCTCATCGATGTTTCTAACTCTCTATCCCTCTCTCTTCCTCTCTGTGAAAAATCAATAAAATATATTAAAAAAAAAAAAAAAAAAAAAAAAAAAAAAAAAAAAACTAAGGTAAAGATAAAAGTTAAGGTAAAGATTGACCTTGTCAGGGAAGATACCAGCCTAGGAGGTGACTACCCACCATAACTGCTTTTAGTTAAAGTTCCATTTCAGACCGTCCTTTGTGATTTCTTTAGGTGTTAGGCCTTCTGAGTTTGTCAGGTTAGCGTGCGGCCTCTTTCAGGCTTTTTTCACTTAGAATAACTCCTTCCAGTTTCATCCATGTTGTAGCAGATGTCAGATTTCAAGAAGGTGACTTTTGAGTTAGTCCCTGAAGGAAGTGATGGAGCTAGAGGAATACAAAAAGACCCTGAGGTGGGAATGGAGCTGGTGTTAGATAAAAAGGCCAGCGCTGCTGGAAGAAGATTGGGGTAGGAGGTGGGGAGGGGGAGAATAATAGTGATAAAGCAAATTTTGTAGCATGTTAGAGTTTTGGCTTTGTTAAATGAAAGTTAACAAAATAGCCAAAACCGGTTTGGCTCAGTGGTAGAGCATCAGTCTGCGGACTGAGAGGTCCCAGGTTCGATTCCGGTCAAGGGCATGTACATTGGTTGCAGGCACATGGTCGATGTTTCTCTCTCATCAACGTTTCTGGCTCTCTGTCCCTCTCTCCTCCTCTCTGTAAAAAATCAATAAAATATATATTAAAAAAAAAAAAGAAAGTTAACAAAATAAAATTTATCTGTTTTCAAGATTTAATAGTCTTTTATATATATATATACATACATGTATGTATATATATGTATATATATATATTGTACATATACATATACATATATACATACATACATACGCCCTTGACTGGAATTGAACCCAGAACCCTTCAGTTCCCAGGCTGACACTATCCACTGAGCCAAACCAGCCAGGGTGAGCTAATTGTCTTTATTAAGTGATCCATGAACTGATTGGGTAGAGTCTCCTTCTAGCAACTAGAAGGGCCACTCTGAGGATTGTACAAAATGGAAGGTTCTTATAGGAAAAGGAGTAGGGCCAGGGGGCTATGAACAAAAGAAAAGATGATTTTGGGGCCAATATCCTTTCTTTAGGGAAAGGAAAAGGGGAAGGGTTTTTATCATGCAAATTTCCTATTTTCTCTGTGTGTGTGGAGGGTGAGGGGCGGGGGGAGGGATGGAGAAGGCCACTCCCTACCA